GGGCAATTTTAATGCAGAGGAGGCATGTGATCACGTATGCCTCGAGGCAGCTGAAGCTTCATGAGGCGAATTACCCCACTCAGGACCTAGAATTGGGGGCGGTTGTGTTTGCCCTCAAATTTTGGAGGCATTACTTGTACGGAGTCTGGTGCACCATCTTTACTGACCATAAAAGTTTAAAGCATTTGATGGATCAACAGAACCTTAACATGCAACAGAGGAGGTGGTTGGATGTACTGAAAGATTATGATTGCGAGATTTTGTATCACCCAGGGAAGGCCAATGTGGTGGCCGATGCCTTGAGCCGCAAGGCGGCGAGTGCTCCGATTAGGGATGTTTGTTTGAGGATGACGGTGATTTCCCCCTTGTTGGAGATGATCAAGGAGGCTCAGGTGGAGAAAGAGAACTGAAAGATAGAGCGGATTCGGGGTCAGATTCCCTTGTTTGTTCGGGATAGTCGGGGTCTTTTGACACAGTGTGGTCGGGTGTGGGTACCGGTATCTGGGGGAATGAGACAAAAGATCTTCGAGGAGGCACACAAGTCCAAGTGCTCTATTCATCCGGAGGCCACAAAAATGTACAGAGATCTATGGCTGAGTTAAGCGGGAGGTAGCGTAGTTTGTGGAGCGGTGCTTGACATGCAGTAAGGTCAAGGCCGAACATCAGAGGCCTCACGGAAAGGTTCAGTCGCTACCTATTCCCATGTGGAAATGGGAAGAGATCACCATGGACTTCATCACAAAGTTACCAAGGATGGCGAGGGGTGTATATTCCATTTGGGTCATTGTGGATAGGTTGACGAAGAGCGCCCATTTTATTCTGATCCCCAAGAGTATCTCTGCTGAGAAATTAGCAGATATCTATGTGCGGGAAGTGGTGGTCAGGCACGGGGTGCCAGTGTCGTTAGTCTCTGATCGGGATGTCTGCTTTACATCCAGGTTTTGGAGGAAGTTCCACGAAGAGTTGGGATCTCAGATATATTTCAGCACCGCTTACCACCCCCAGACAGATGGACAGAGCGAGCGGACGATCCAGACGCTCGAGGATATGCTGCAGGCATGCGTATTGGATTTCGGAGGGAGTTGGGATACATACCTCCCACTAGCAGAGTTTTCATATAGCAATAGTTATCATGCTTGTATCGACCGACCCCCGTTTGAGATGTGGTATGGTCGGAGGTGTAGGACCCCAGTTTTTTGGGGTGCGGTTGGGTACCAAGTCATGGGAAGCATCAAGGTGGTGCTTAAGACTACCGAGTTGATCCAGCAAGTGCGCGACAGGCTGCGGGTCACTCAGAGCCGTCAGAAGAGCTATGTTGACCGACTTCGCTCAGATCTCGAGTTTCAAGTGGGAGACTTCGATTTGCTGAAAGTGTCACCATGGAAGGGTGTCATTAGGTTTCGGAAGAGGGGCAAGCTAAGGCCCCGATTTATTGGTCCGTTCAGGATATCTGCCCGAGTGGGCAAGGTGGCTTACCGTTTGGACCTGCTGGACGAGCTTAGCTAGATTCACAACACCTTCCATGTGTCTCAGCTTCGGAAGTGTGTCACTGACGAGGCTGCGGTTATTTCTTTGGACGACATTCAGGTGGATGAGAGTCTGAACTACATTGAGAGGCCCGTTGCAATTTTGGATAGGAAAACTAAGGTTCTTCGTAACAAAGAGGTGAAGCTAGTGAAGGTGCAATGGCAGCATCGTAAGGGCTCAGAATGGACATGGGAGCCGTAGGATGATATGCGAGAGCATTACCCAGATTTGTTTGTGACAGCAGACTTCAAGGACAAAGTCTAGTTTAAGTGGGGGAGATTTGTAACGCTTGGTCAGGTATGAAATAAATATATTAATTTTCAAGTTTTTGGAATGGAACTTGACGAGTTGGGAGGCTCCAGCTCGTCGTGTAGAGAGCTTTCCAGACGTACATCTTTTAGGGTCTACTCGACGAGTTGGAAGGCCCCAACTCAACGAGTTGAATGCTGAACATGAAACCCTAATTTTTAGGGTTTGCACCATATTTAAAGGCCTTAAGCCTCATTGTTAGCCTCCCTTATCGCCCCCTTGTCCAGAGAAATCCTAGTTCATGCTTTCTATATCATTTTGAGTGTGTGAGAGCTTTAAGAGTGCCTTTTTGGTGTTTATTTGAAGAAGCTTGAAGTGGCTGGTGCATAACTGAAGGGGGAGGCTGTAGATCCGGTGTCTACTATGTTGTGGCAACCATATTGAGGTATAAAGTTGATACCTTGGTCATTTATTTGCTAGATCTCTTCATTTGAGAGTTTATGGTCATTATTAGCTTATTTTGGGATCATTCGTGGATTTGAGCATGTCATGAAGCTATAACTTCAGATCTGGACATCTCATGGCCTCTTTTGACTTAAAGTTGCTATCGTTATCAATTCTTGGCCCTCCTTCATGCCCTAAACCCATTAATAAGCTATGATTGAGTGTTTTAGCCCCTTAATGCCATACATGGACGTAAAGTTAGCAACTTTACGTGGTATCTCAGCCCTAGGGGATCAGATCTATAGTTTGGAGCATTAGACTCGCTTAATAAGTGGCTGAATATGTTAGGGCTAGGCAAACTCGACGAGTTGCCTTTCCAACTCGGCGATTTGGCCCGGGGTTTCCCCGATCTTCTGGTCACTGTTCGAACTCAACGAGTTGCTGTGATAACTTGGCGAGTTGACTAGGGTTTTTCCCGGTTCTCTGAGAACTGAAGGAACTCGACTAGTCAGTAGGTGCACTCGACGAGTTGGGTCAACATGGACTGTTGACCTTAACTGTTGACTTTGACTTTGACCATGGTTGACCAAGTTTGACTTTAAGGGTATCTTTGGTATTTTGGGATTTTGATGAAGTTAGTCACATGGTGGTTGTAGGCAGTTGAGTTCGGAGCTGTGAGTTGGGATTTGATCTTACCAGTTCAACATTTCTTGAGAGGTGAGTCTCCTCACCATACCAATTGGTCGAAGGCACCAAGGTCGGACCATTATGTGATATGTGGTATACTAGTTAATTATATGATATGTGGTATACTAGTTGATTATGTGTTATGTGGTCTGCTAGTTGTCTCTGTGATACTTGCATGAAAGACCCCGGGGGGGGGGGGGGGGGAGCCCGTGACACTTGGATATCAGATCATGTGGGGGAGCCCATGACATTCCAGGTAAAGACCGTGGGGGGAGCCCATGGCACATAGGTATAAGACCCTAGGGGAATCCCATAGCATCCTGGAGTAAGAACCTGGAGGGAGTCCACGACATCCCTATATGTTTAGATGCATGGCTTGTATGAGTGATATGTTTTATATGATTATGTGGATTGTGTGGGGTATGTTATGGGGAACTCAATAAGCATTAGCTTACAGTTTGTTGGTTGTTTCAGGTACTTCAGGATCTAAGGGCAAGGGCCCGGCATGATGGCTCGACATGCACTCTCTGGCATTCTATTTGAGACACTCTGATATTATGAATGATTTATTTGATGTTATGGATTTTGAAAACAAATGTGATTGGAGTTTTATATTTTACGAAAATGAGTTTGTTATTTAAAATGAAAAATTTTATCGGAAATTTGGGTTGTTACAAAAAAAATCAAATAGCTATGTTCTCGGTTTTCACATTTTTTATTTTTTATTTTTTTTTATTTTTTTCGTTTTTTTATAAATTATTATTATTTATAATACTATTAATTTGTTGTTCCCTAATACACAGTTCTTCCATGCCATTGGTTGATTTTTGTGTTTTGTTTTTTTTCCTTGCTGGCACGTTACGTGATGGATTAGGCCACCGGGTATGGAGGGTAGTTTGACGCGTAAAGGGTGACGTGGAGGGGGGGTATTTACGCGTGAACACCCCCCCCCCTCCCTGGTGAATGTGACGCGGATTGACATGGTTCACGGGTGGTTACGCGCAATTTGATTGGATGCTTTTTATTACCGTTTTCTCCCATTTACTCCATCCATTTTGACCGTTAACATTTACTAAAAAAAAAATTTCTTTTCAAAACTAAAACTTCACCTATATATACAAACATAATACATATCACATATTTTAACGATATTTTGCAGGGTAAAGCACCAAACATGCCATACGTTATTAATGGACTTGAATACAATCATGGATATTACCTTGCTGATGGGATATATCCAAAGTACGCTACATATGTCAAGTCATACACATATCCAGCTGATGAAAAAAGGAAATTGTTCAAATTAGCACAGGAATCTGCAAGGAAGGATGTGGAGCGGGCGTTTGGGGTCCTCAAACAGAAGTGGCACATAATCAAATATCCAGCACGAGCATGGGAAAGGGAAAAATTGATGAAGGTGATGAAAACGTGTGTTATTTTACATAACATGATACTAGAAGAAGAGGGTAGGACTATTTGTACGTATACTCCAAATGATATGCTCAATCCATCTGCAGTAATACAAGTCGGTAGCCCAACATACTTTACAAGGCTTTTGGAAATATATAATAGTGAAACACATCACAATTTACGTCAAGATTTGACTGACCACATATGGCAATGACAATTTGAAGACGAAAACGAAGTGGATGAGGACGGGGACGATGAGGACAACGATACAGACGAGTAGTTTTTTTTTCAATGTTTTTTTATTAATTTTTATGTTATTAGTAAAATTTACGTTGAATTTTAAAAATATCACTTTTATGTTTATTAATATTTATTTTATTAGTAAGCATGTATGTTGAATTTAAAAATATTATTTTTATTTTTATTAATGTTTTATTGTGTTTTTTATTTAATATGATGTAAAAAAAATAATAATGTGGAGTGATAATTATTTACAATGATTAGTAAATATGTACTGAATATGTAAGTGGGGTGATGTCGCGGTATTTTTTTTTCTTTTTTTTTTTTTTTTTTTTTTTTTTTTTAAGTAAATAATTAGTGACCATAACCAAAAGATACGTGCCTAACTAGTGACCATAACCAAAAGATACGTGCCTTCTTTTCTTCTACCTCCAAGATACGTGTCATATGCTTCTTCTACACCACCGACTCCATTCATCTCTCTATTTTCCATTCCATCTAAAACTCAGATGCTCCAATATGCATACACAATCCTTCCCTCCGGCTTCTTCCTTGTGGCGGGTTTTGATTTGTCGACGTGAAAGAAAGGGCGAAGGACAAACCGATGTTATTACATTGGAATGAAGTCCTTCACTATACCATTGTTTCCATCGCCACCGTTGGCCAATCCGGCACGTTGGCCTACGCAGCAACGACGACCGAAGACGGCGACCGGAGTTTAATCTCTGCAGTCATCTTCCATCGAACTGCAGCCTTCTATTTAGGGCTCGAGTTGTTCCGACAACATAGAAGTGTTGATTTAGGCTTCGACCTAAACAACACCGTCGATTTGCGCCTTGCAGGTTTGTATACAATCCTTTCTCCTTTTTTTTCATTATTCTAAGTTGAATTTGCATTTGACCTAAATATTAGTGCTTTGTTCTTATTTTTTCCACTTTAGATCGGTGTTATCGCCTGAATAGAAGAGTTTGATCATGGCAACTGCAGATTTTTTTGGAGGAACAAGAGTGGGAGAGAGACTGAAATTAATGGCCCTCTTTCCGACTTCCATTTCATTCCCCTTTTGGATCATCACTACTTGAAAGAGGACAAGCGACGTGGGTCTGCTGGTGACTATACAATTTCAGAGATCTCATCACAAAAGTAAGAAAAAAACTAACTTTTTCAAACTCCTATTGAATGCTAATGTTTTTTTTTTTAACAGTCACACACCTTCTTGCTAAATTGTGATGTTTGCTGCACTTTCCCATTGCCCGAGATGCTTGGTATGACTTCCTGCTAAGTTGTGATGTTTGCCACACTTTATGTGTGGGATCTATTTTAGAGAAGGAAAACAGGGAGCTTCACAAAATCGAACACAATTTCTACTTCAAGGTGATATTTTTTATCATAATTTCTTCTTCAAGGTTTGTCTTCCATGTGTTCGACGAAATGCTTAAAAGAAAGGCTAAACCAACTAATTCTCTCATTCCGTTTTTTACTGCTATTGATTATTGAATTCCTCGATTTTGCGTCTTCCCTAAAAGGGATCGACCTCTATATTTCCAGATTAAGAAAGATGAGGCGAGAAGAGAAGATGACAATATTTCTAATCAGGTAAGAGCATCTTCCAGTTTTGTAATTTTTTTTTTTTTTATTTCAAGGGATTAATTTTGGATATATGACAGCAAAAACCGTTGAATGTAGAATTTAAGCGTAATAGTTAAATGTTGAATATATGAAAAAAATAAGGTCCTCAAGCTCTGGAAAAATAATATTGGACAGTAAAGCAACAAAATTTTGATAATTCTTACTTCAAGGTAGTGCAGTAACAGTTCTTCATTATTATTATTTTTGTTATTTAATCTACTATGTGGTAAAGTAGATGCTCAATTTCTTGATGCATTTAATGATTATTTAAATTAACTAAAGTAGAATTGTGACTTTTACATGGTTCCAAGCTTTTACCAGATTCTAACACCAAACAGAAAATGGAAAAGGAATAAAGTTGAATTCCATTCCAATTGTTGCCAACGAAAGTAGGATGTTAATCCAATATACAATGCTCTAACTGTTTACATTGTTTTCTCTTTTCCTGGATAGGGGTATGAAAGTAGGACGTTATATTCATGAAAGAAACCTCAACAGGTAAGAACACCACAATGGAACTGTTGATTGTTTTTGTAAATTTTTGGGGTATTTGGTTTTCACTTTAATGGTACCTTTAACCGTTGCCCAAAAAAAAATTAGAAACGACTGTCTTGGCTTATGCATGGTAGTCATTGCTTATCTCTCCATTCCAGCTTCTATTTGGATTACACTGTTGTAATTGAATACTTTGGTTTGGATTGTCTAGCTATATATTTGGCTTAACTTTTGGAAGTCCTTACATTTGCAAGAATAGGACTACTAAAAAATGTAAATAAATCTCTATCTATCTACATATGTATGATTGTGTTAATGAGTTATACTAATATTACAATTTCACTCCTTTTTTGTTGTTGTTAATTAGGGTAGCAGTGGAGTTCCTCAAGTCGGTATCACTTTGATCGTAGGTGGTTCATGGTATGAAAGTGAGGAACCAACAGTTGTCATAATATTTGCATTTTATTGTAACTTGAGAATTGTGATGAGATGAAATAGTTAGTTTTGTAGCATTTCGTTTCATCTGTAGATAATTGACTAATTTCATTAAATTTCTTTTAAATTAAGCAATCGTTATTTTTTTCCTGCTGGATACTTCATTAAATCACCCTTTTGTGTGTTGAATCTTATATCAGTTACACAATTTCATTGTTTCTTCTTCAGTAACTTGCAACAGGTGAACCAGACAACTGATTGAACAATCCTAATACCTCAACCCACCATTCCGACCCATGCAGAGCAGGGGCTCCTTACTAGTTGTTATTATTATTATTATTTTCGTTTTATTTATATTTTTTATTATTTTTAATATCTTTAGATAATAGTGTTTTGTGTTTATTTTTTGATTTTTTGAATTATTAAATTAAATATCGGCTTGAGTTTTTAATGTTTAACAATTATAAAATTTTAAATAATAAGAATATTAAGGGTGCGTTTAGTTGCGGAAAAATGGGCTATTTTCCGGAAAATATTTCCAAGAAAAATAGGAATTTTGAAAACGTGTTTAGTTCGTCTATTTTTCTAAATATTTCACGGAAAATGAAATAAATTTTCCGTTTTCTAAAATTACAAAGAAGTTGGAAATTTTTGGAAAACCGATAATCATTGTTTTCCACATTT